TGTAACGGAATTAAGCGATCTTGGTCTCATTATGGAGGGTTTTTTCAGATCTTCCTGATAAATCACGAATCGAGTCGAATTAAATCCCGTGGTGGCCGCTAAATGGCATCGTTTGAAAAATTAGCCGATTTGCCTTTTTTTTTCGAAAATTTCAAATGGAACCATATATTTTTCCTGCTATGATATGGAAGTAAAGTGAACGAGAAGAAAAATGGTGAAAACCGCGAGTTGATACCTGTTGAAGAACCGGAGAAATACTAGGAATAATATTAAAATTTAAACTGTTAGCATGTCAAATGGCTCCTCATTCGTTATCGGCATTTTGACAAATAAGCAATCCACAGTGAAAACGTTCAATGGAACTTCAATTATATTTTGACGTTTCTTTCATTCAAAGCCAACTTGCCTTTTTTCATTCCTGAGCCTATGCTCACTACTTACATGTCAATTAGCTATGTCATTACTAAGAGTCTCCTTCACTATTGTGAGATATAACAGCAGTTTGTGAAACCAAAATAAATGAATTATTGAAATCATAATTTCATAGATACAGGATATTTCTGATGACGATTATTGAAGTTAGATTCCTGTGGTGAATATTTTCATAATATTATTTCGAGTATTTCACCGGTTCCTCAAGAGGCATCAATTCGCGGTTTTCACCATTTTTCTTCTTGATGGCTCTACTTTCATATTAGAGTAGAATGAATATATGGTTCCATTTTAAATTTTCGAAAAAAGTGGAAACTTGTCTGATTTTTCAAACGATGCCATCTAGCGGCCACCACAGGATTTTAATCGACTTGATTCGTGATTCATCTGGAAGAACCAAAAAATCCTTCATAATGAGACCGTTGAATTCCGTTACACCAAACTGTAGTAATGGGAGTTTTTTCAAAGTACTATTTATCCTTCCCTCCCTCTTTCATTTAAAGAGCTAGCGCATTTTTTTATCGAAATGATTGGAAATCAACTCGAGAACATGAAGAAAGTGTTTTTGATATGTCTTGATATATCAGATTTTCATAAAATCCCGTTTATTAAACTGGCCAATGCCATTACGCCCTCTAGCAGGGGTTGTCCTGGAAACTTGAACATATATAATTTCCAGAGATTTTTCTTGGCCACTTTTATCATGAATATTTTTTCCGAAACCTGTGCGGCAAATATAATTTTCCTCCGACTGGTAGCAAATATTAATTTTGCTGACACATATCAATCAGCAAAGTATTACTTTTCCTGCCTAGGCAGCAAAGTGGTTACTTTGCTGATTGATATGTATCAGCAAAATTGAAAATCCATAAATCGTTTATAATTTCCTTCATATTTCATCCGAGATTCTCCGGCAACAAATTCAACTCTATATTTTTTGCCACCTCCCTTATTGATGGAGGTGTAAGTATACTTCCAGGTCGCTATCACTGTCCATTATATAATAATTTAAATATACCGATATTTTTTCGCACAACAGTCAAAAATTTCATGAATTGTCAAACAACTGCGATTTCTATCAAATTTTATTTTAATTGAACACTATACAGGTAGAATAAAGAGATTGTGGGAATTGTATTAATTCGCAAATACAATATTCTCCCATATCATTATGAACAATCGGAGAAAAAATTATATGTTCAACTCGGCAGCAAAGTAGATTGACTGCCTTAGCTGGATTCCTAGCCTCGCTACGCTCGGCTATGAATTCAGCCACGGCAGTCAATCTACTACTTTGCTGCCTAGTTAAACAAATAACTATTCTGAGATACAACCGGCGTCCTTTCTTAGTGGTACACCCGGTACAAAAATACTTGAAACAGAGAATTTCACAATACACTGTTTTACCACTAACTATATGTTGTTATAATTTTCATCAACATTCAAGTTAACTTGAACTTTTTAGTTAACTTAAAAGTTTTAATCTTCTCCTGATATGATGACATAGTTAGCGGCGTTCAAAAATTGGTTTATTGGTAAGTGGTATTGTGATTATCGTGCGAAAGGTTCCAGTCTTCAGATTAGAAAGTGCACCAGTTTTTATTACTTGGGCGACGCCCATCCCAGATAACACAGGATATCCTATGGATATCCTTCTCAAGTCCATTTCAGGTCGGGATATCCTGGGACATGAAATGGATATCCATAGGATATCCGTCAGAGGATATCAAATGGATATTCTGATGCGGATCACCTATGGACGTCCATAAGATGTTCGTTTAGCGAACAAAAATTGTTAATTGAGAATGGTTCAAAACAATACAAATCATCACAAATATCACATGCAAATCACATGTTTATTAGAAATTCAAAGGTAGTTTTATGTAGGTATAATATGTTTATAGCCACAATTAAGATATCCGATGCAAATATGAATTCATATAAATAACAACACCACAGTTTGGAATTTTTCTCTGTTGTTCAATGTTTTCGTACAAAAATATACAATCACTCGAAAATAGCTCTCATATATTTACTTTTTTGTGGTCTTCAGATGGACATCCATGAGATATTCATCCATGGATTTATAGCGGATATCCATCAGAAGATATCTTACCCAGATAGCACAAGACGTCTTTAAGATGTCTGAATTATATCCTATCTTAGTCTGTACGTCTTACTCCCTGAATAAGACGTCTACAAGATGTCATCATTCAGACGTTTTAAAGATATCTGATTCTCACGTCCTGAATACGTCTTAAAGACATCGTAATAATACAAATAAGCAATAATGATATTTGGTATATAATAATAAGTATTAATCATAATGACTTTTAGTGTGTCATATCTGAACGTTCTCCACTCTCAGAATTCCTGAATTCCACACCTAGTTATGGTTCTATTCTCATAATATGCGTTAAACTTTTAATAAGAAATATAGGTATGATCATATTGATTCAGGCTAATAGAATATTTTGAATTTCATAATTTTTATAACTTCACCGTAATACATAGAGGATAGATTGTTCAGAGTAAGTTATTTTATAAATCGGGTGGGATGATTTGAAAATACCGCCATGTCAAACGAAAGAGAGATCGTAGCGCCACAGCCAGAACGGCGAAAGCCAGTACTATTTGATTGTTTATATTTTACATTGTTTGGTTTTGGTGATGGTGTTTATTGAGAGGTGTGTTTATGTTAATTTCGTTTTGAGTTCTCAATCATTCTCAGCTTTGATATTTGTGTATTTTTTAAATCCGTGTTTTCCAGTGGTTCATTGTGTTTTGATTGAGGACAATAATATCTCTGATGTTTAACAGTAGAACACCTACCTACCTCTAATTGGAATGTTGAACCTAAAACCTATACCGACATAAGCTGTAAGTTTTTATCATTATTGAACAAAAATTCTTATGATTTGGCCATTTAGCCTGTGCATTTCAATCTTTTTCAGTGATTCAGTGTCTCCAAAATGAAGCTGAGCTCATAAATGCGGGCCACCTGGTTTTGGCTGGTCAAATGGATGCAAATGATTGCATTGAAGTATAATAAGTATTATGCCTCATTATGTTTACAGTCCACTGTGTGTGTCAGGTAAGAAGAACTCTCCCTAATAATGATATTGGTAAACTCCTGAAACTCAACTCTATATCATTGTTTTCAGGAAGAATGTGGGATCTTCCAGAGATATAAATATGCTTGGTTGACACAAAAAGCAATCAACAGAGGGACTAATACAATCAGTATTCCTATAGATGAGATGCCCTGTTTTAAGAAAAAAATGAAGAGACCAGTTATATGAAACATAATGAATATTCTCAATTTTCCTATCACAAACAGGGTGGACGAGCAACTTCTTTTCTGGAAATGTCAAACCTGTCCTTGGTAGTTGTACTTTTCAAATAAATGTCACAAAGATCAACTATTTATTTGTGTTGTATGTACCTACATGTTTGCTTCATAACTGGCACTTTAACCGGGGATGGCATTTTCAAACGGGACACCCTGTATTTTATTCCATAATCGGTTAAGGATTATCATAACGAATTCAACGATACTGTGTTTGATAGAATTTCTACAAACGATTAGGAAGATATGCACATTTCCATATCCTCAATGAGCATATGAAAACTTCCAATGCAAATATCTTCGTAATCGTTTGAAATAACCCTATCCAATCCGGTACCGTTGAATTCGTTATAATAGTTCCTAATTCATTATGGAATAATATACATGGTGTTCTATATTGTTAAGGATATTTAGTAAATATCCCTGAAAAATATCTCATGGATATTTGTGAACAATATCTTATGGATATCCCTGAAAAATGTCTTATGGATATTTGTGAACAATATCTTATGGATATCCCTGAAAAATGTCTTATGGATGTCCCTGAAGGATATCCTATAGAAGTCCAACTCCTTCCACTCGGCACGTCCATTGGACGTCCATAAGATATACATCGGATATCACTGGATATTCTCTGGATATCCCAAATATCCTAAATGGACGTCCAATGGATGTCCATCGAATGTCCGTGTGTTGACTGGGATGCTTCTAGATGCAAAAACTATATAGCCCCTCATGGATAATCTCTATTAGCTCCTGGAAATAGGTATGTATCGAAAGCATTTTACCGTGTTTGGCACCAAATAAAGGACTTGATTCACGAATCCCTCCAAGTATGACGTGGAACGAACTCACTATGAACCATTGGTTCTAATTCTAGAATATAGGGTGTTCCATTTGAAATAACGGAGTTGTAGCCCACTTCCGGTAAGCCGGAAGTCCTAGGAGTACGCGAGTTATTAAGCTGAAGAGCTATCGATCGGCGATACCGCACAACTTCCAAAAAAGTTGACTAATGCAATCTTTCAATTTTGAGGATCTATTCAACCCGAGATTCAACCGAGTCTTTCTCATGACGTGATTGAAGTACGCCTCTACGTAGGTATACCTACTAAATTAGTTATAAAATTATTTATTTCTTGTATTTCAGTACATACATTCTCTCCAAATACTAAAAGTGAACACACTAGACACAGAGCGGTAGGTAATAGGTACTTACTTGATTTTTTCTTTTGATCAAAAACAAACTAAATGGAATGATGTTGACTTCAGGCACCGGTTTTGTTTGAATATTGCTGTAGTTTCTGGTTTAGCTGTTCTCGTTCCGCTCGCCACATCACTGGCGGGCTTCCAGTGTTGCCAGACTTCGTGGTTCGATTTCCTTGAATGCAGAATGTTTCAAAATTCAACTACCAAAACGCAGATTTTCTTGTGGTCGACCGACTATGTGTTATAATGTTTTTTCCTCGGAAAAAAAAAATTTTGGACCACTTTGAGAAGGATGGATGGTTTCCATAACTCATTACAGAAATGTCAGGAGATCGAGATTAGAGATTTTCAGCCTACCACTGTGAATTTCATTTGTATCATGCACACAAGTTATTACAGAGGATGCAGGAAGTGTTTGAATTCAATATGCGAACAATTCGAAACTTTCGTGGAAATATTCCAGAAGGAACAAAAATATCAATACAACAGAAAGTGATGTGAGGCATAACACAAGTGATGGCATGTATCAATTATCCAAAGATTCGAAAGTATTGGGAACATGATAGTGTGTTGAAAGGTTGCCACCTACAAGAAAGGAGTCAGCATATTGCTGTAGATGACAACTGGAACTTGTGGGCTAAAACAATATGTACCAGATAAGCCTAACCCAGAAGATCTCAAAGTTTTTATTCTAGCACATCCTAATGGTATTGTTTGTGACTTCGTTGTTTATCAAGGAAGATCAACATTCCCACAAGAAACTGAAGCAGGATTTATACTTAAAGAAAGTGCTGTTATACACTTGAGCTGTAATTTGGTTCCAGGACATATCGTATATATCGACAGATACTTCACCACTGTAAAATCAGAAGACGAATTGTTGAAGAGAGGAATAAGATGTGTTGGAACTTTAATGAAAAATTAAATACCAAGTGTTCTTAAAACCCAGCTAAAAGACGATCAGTCCCTAAAGCGAAGGTGTCGCGGAAGCTTCGACTTAACGGTACGAGAAGATGATAAAATGGCATTAACAAAATGGTTTGATATAATAAATCAGTATTGATGCTTTCTACTATGTACGCAGCAGAGCCCACTGATAGCTGTCGAAGATGGAGCAAGGATGAGAAAGCATACCTGAATGTCACCAGACCACTAGTCGTTAAGCAGTATAACGCTAATATGGGAGGTATAGATTTAACCGACAGATTGATTGCTGTTAGTCCAGCGAGAATTCGTACAAACAAATGGACAATGCACGGAAAAAATGGAATTATTGAATCAAGCAAAATTTAATTGAATGGAGCAAATAAAAGTGTCATATATGCACGACAAAATATAATCTTGAAATGAGTGAATCTACATCTTGTTTCAGAGCGAATTTGAAGTTTGAATCAAGTAAATATGTCTTGCATGAACTCTTCTTCAATCAAGCACATCCATGAATTGTTTATGAAGAGATATTGAATTGACTCAAACAAACATTTTGTTTGATTCAAAATAACAAGATATTGATTCAATCAAATATTTAGTTGATTCAACGAAATATTTGGTTGATTCAAAGAAATATTTGGTTGTTTCAATGAAATATTTGGTTGATTCAATGAAATATATTGTTGATTCAAGAGAAACTATATGTATATCCATTCGACAAATTGTTTTGTTGAACCAAATTCAATATTCGGGAATTTTCTGAAATTTCACAACAATAGAATAAACAAAACTAGGAAACTAGTCGACTCCTAGCAAAGATCTTTAGTCTTTACTTCTCTTTAGCTGATGGAAAACTATTTCGGATTGCTAATTATCCTAAGTTCGACTTATCCAGCTGATATTACAAACACGAAGAATCAGGCTTCACGTATATATAATGAACTCGAGGCAGGCATAGACGAGGCGAAATGATCGCCATCTAGAGGCGAAAATTCAAGTTGATGTAGAATGAACAAAATATTTCATTGATATTACATCTTTCGTTGCTCTATTCGAGCAAATGATCCGTTCGAAACGAGTTCATTGATACATCGGAATAAGACAACTTGTATGTTGTTTCAAAGATATATTCTCATCAAAATGATCATTGTTTGATCAAATCAACGAAATGTTTATAGTTGAATCAAAATCGACATTATTTTGGATCGACATAATTTGATTTTGAAGAAACCATATATTTTGTTGATGGAATTGATAATATTATACTGTTGATTCAATTAGACTACATGCTTGATTTGAACAAGCTGCTTCCATGGAATAATCATGTATCTGGTTGATTCAACAAAAAATTGATCAGTCCAACAAAAATAACTCGAGCATAAATAATTTGTTGATGCAACAAATCCTTTTTTTCCGTGTGAGGTTCATTTCACACATGACGGATTTGTCAGTAGTGAATGGGTATCTTCAATATAAACACGTGAAACTACAACAAGGTGTTCCAAACAAGAAAATTCTCCAGCAATAGCGACATTGAAAATCAACAAAAATGCGAACGAAAGAGAGGCAGACCTTCCGCAGTAGCTATTCTTTCCAAGAGAAAATGCACATGTGGTGCTAAACACCTACCTAAAATAGATGGTGGAACACAACACAATTGTCGAAATCCGGGATGTACTCAGAAATCATCTGTGAAGTGCACTACATGCCTGCTATTATTATGCTTGACATCAAAACGAAATTGCTTCAAACAATTTCATGAATAAAACACCAATTTTATTTCCCCAAATTAGAGTTAGTTGTATCAAAGTTTGATTTTCAATCATTAATTAGCCTTATTAAGATACACCTACCTTCTTTTCTCACCATTGATTTCAAATTATGAACATGTGACTCAGACCTGTTGTTCTTCAGAATGTACAAAAAATACGATTTTATCATTTCAAAACACGTTTCTATCATGATAACGAATGGAATAAAATATATAAAAAATCAGTGGTGCACAAGCTCTCGTAGTACCGCCACAGGTTTCGGAATCAACTTGTTGTTAGCATTTCTGTCAAATTTCTGCAATCTTTTTTTCACACATGCAGAACATCTCTTTCCAAAGACTAGTTCATCCAACGAACAGCGAGGCTCTGGAACACATTGCCAAAGGAGGTGTTTCCCGAGGCATATAACCTCCAGAAATTTAAAAAGAACACCAATTCCTATCTCATTTCCCTTGGTTCTCACGATGTTCTCTGAACATTACAGGATATCCCTTTTCTTGGGAACCAGAACATGAAAAAAAAATGTCCAAGGTTCTAACTGTTTGAACTTACTTTACTTTGTGCATCCGACTTCCTAATGTATCATAGCTGGGATGGCAACAGTGGTTTCAGGATACCCCACTCTAACTTTAGCTCCACTTGATAGCATATTATTGAGATCCGCAAATATCTAATGCATTCAATTTACATACCATATGATTTAAATAATTATAAGGTTAAGCCATTGGTGCCGCCAGAATTATTTTCATGGGGTGCATCTGCATCTACACACTATACAATAAAATAGTCATTGATAATTATACATTCATGTGTACAGGGTGGGCCAAAGTGGGAATTTCTAAAGGGAAAGTCCTAGTCCCGTGCAAGATAGAAAAAACTGATGTCGGTGCCTGTTGATCAATTCACTATCTTTATTTCAGAGTTACAAGGTACACTACACACTGTTTTACCACTAACCAAACCGATTTTTTACACCTCGACACGTGTTTCGCTAACTATGTTGGCATCTTCAGGAGACGATCAAAACCGTTTCATGGTGTTAATTAGAACTGTTCTTTCAAGAAGAACAAGTTATATTCCTGAACTACACTCAGATGCGAAAAAAACGCAACAAGTCAATATTCGGTAAAATTTAATGTCTCATAACTTTTTAATTTTTGTTTCGATTTTCATAATTTTTTCAACAAACTGTAGATAAAATGACTGATTTCAACTTGTATATGCAGTCTTATGTTAAATGCTGACGTATTAGTCATTATAAAGGGTTGAATGAAAGGTCGTTGTATCACCCTAATTTCAAAACACCCTGTGGAATAATTTCGTTGCACAATTAATTTAAAAAATAATTTTCTTTAGGCACCATTTCTTTTCTACATTTTGACTTTTGATTCATGTCTGCGAGAGCACTGGTTCATTTTTAAGAGGGAAATGAACTTGTCACAATGTCACAACAGTTTAATTAAGGAAATGTAATTTTTGGCGAGGTGGCTTTGATCATTGTTGTCCTTAGTCAAATTGACAGTGATTTGCTATTGGCCTTGTTGAAGATGGACGTAATTATGAATATGTTGCAAAAATACTTCATGTTCATCGTACTACCATCAAATGGGTAGTCGAACGTTTTAGACAGACTATACCCATCTGTGGTATTGCGAAAGCTATACAAAAGACTAGTATCAAATCATGGATGCAAACCAAATCTCAAAAATGGTGGAACAACTCGCCAGGAATGAGACAGGCTAAAGAGTTTATTAAAAAACCATCGCCAACATTCACAGAATATCTACTAAGCCAGAAACGAAGTTCAACTAGAATACTAGTGGGACTTCTCACAGGGCATTGTAGGCTCAACAAACACATGAGTACGATAGGTCTGACTGAAGAACTGCTGTGCAGGTTCTGTCAAGAAGAAACAGCAGTACATATACTTTGCCACTGTGAGGGCTTGTCAAGACTATAAGGTTCCTTACGCTGGGTGAGGAAAGCCCAGAGATACACAGGAGATCTAAAAGCTAGCCTATTGAGTCTCATAGAGAAGGCGGGGCTAGCCGAAGAACTCTAATCGATTTTGAGGGCAGACACAATAGATCTGAAAAGGTCGCAGTGTGGAGGCAGATAGCCCGAAGGCCCCATTCCAAATCTAATCTAATCTAGACAGACTAGCGGAAACAACGGCAGGTTGTGGCAGAAAACGAAAAACTACTGCTACTAATGACAGATTTCTTTAACATCAGTGCAGTCAACTCCGAAAGGTTCGAGGTACAAATGTACAAATGTACAAATGCATGGACAGTTCGCCGAAGATTGAAAGTTTGCTGACCAGCAGCTGGACCCAAATTGCTTCCGCGTCACCGAGTAGCTAGACTGCAATTTGCCACTGAACATATAATTTTGAACTTAGAACAATGGAACAATGATATTTTTACTGACAAA